AGTATGAACTTCCCGGGATCTGCGCATACTCCAGAAGCCATGCACATGGATGGGCCTGGCTTGCTTTTCTTACAAAATCTGAGCTCCTACCACTGAGGTTTTTGCAACGTCACCAGATTTTCCCTTTCTCCGTTATTTGGAATAGCCGTTCAGCAGGACTTCAGATAGACGTGCAGTAGTATATTCAGCCACATCTCTTGCCATACACTAAGAATGTGCCCATTCTTTCTCTAGAAATGATGCTCCAAGGGACATGTGACACCCGTCACAACCAAATACTGCCTGCTCCTAAATTAAAGTGACCTCTCCACAGCGGGGTTACTGCCCTGGGTTCTTCCTGAGGAAGCACCGGGACTGGCTGAGGCGGAGCAGCAGCCCTGGTGCCGGTACGGTGCGCACTGACCGGGACGCAGAGAGAAAGCAGACCGGCCCTCGGTGGTGAGGACTGCTGTCCAGCAGCCCGTGAATCCAGTTACTATTCTGAAGTTGAAAGCCATCTTAGAGATGATCAATTCCCACATCCTTAATTAGCTCCCAGGGAGCAGGAGGAGCCAGACACGGAGTGTATCATAGGCTCCATTCGTGTGACTGACCAGAGTCAGCAAATGCTTCGAGATGGAAAGGGCGCGGGTGCCCACCAGCAGCTGGGAGGGAGGAGGTGAACAGGAGTGACTACTTCATAGGCGGGGTGTAGCCTGTAAGCCCAGAGCTGGGGAGGCTGAGGCAGGAGGATCACTCCAAGTACGAGCTGCAGAGTGAGACCTGTATAAGTACATGGGTAAAGAAAAGATTAAAAAATAGGTATTAAAAAATAGGCATAATCTGGGTTTAGATAGAGGTGACAGCTGCACAACAGTGTTGAGTTTACTAAGAAGCTGTTATGTGAATTTTATATAAATGAAACTAAAGGGGAAACACCACATCATGAAGAAAGAGACTGACAGATGAGTATGTGGGGACCACTTCCGAGCTGCTCACTGGAGGCTCCCCCTCCTCTGCCACTTCCAGCCCATAAAGGGAGTTTCCAGAGAACTAAGTCACAAGTTGACAAGCCTCCTGCAATTCAGACTGCAGGCGCTGGGGTCTGCGGCTCCCCTAAAGCCGATCCCCACAAAGTGGGGGACATCAGAGGAGGTAGAAGACCTGGCTCCATAACGAATCTTGGGCAACTTATGAAAAATGACTGGAGCAGAGCAGGGACCATGCTGGAGGAGTTGTGCACGTCCGGAGCCGGGGCACCACGCTGGCTTCCTGTGGCCACGGCTCAGATGCCCACTTACGGGCTGTCCACCACTTGTGAGGAGACCGCCACGGACAGCTTCTGTGTGCACAGCAGGGACCTTGGTGAGTATCATCTCCAAGGGACACCCAAGACATTCCAGGCTGAAAGAGAATTCAACAGGATGAAGAATGTGGAAGCCTGTCATAGGATATGAAGCTCTATGCAAGTGTTATTAGTAGAAATGAGTCAAAGTCACCCCACTAGTGCTCTACTACTGAGTCTCTTATCATCTTTAAACACAACCAGAGAAGCTTCACAGGGCTCCAAGAACCCTTGAGATTTCATCTCTGCAAGTCACTACCTCCACGCAGGCATTACTTCTAAACTCAAAAAGACTTCACTGCATCTGCTTGAGCCTACCAGATTCAAATCAGGTCAAGTGTCACCACACTATCTGCTGTCCTTCACAGTCACACTGAATGGCCAAGCGTGCCAGCAGATGAGACCGCGGAGAAGAGGCCAGAGGAGTACCTGTCCTATCGTACACTCCTGAAAAGGCAACTCAACCATTTGTCTCGGTAACCATTCGGGTTGAAACTCTGGAAGAAACAGCTCTATTCCATTTATCAAAATCCTTCAAATGGATCCTGCAGATCACTCCAACCCGTTCCAACAAAGCCGAGCACAGTTGTTTACCACCCGTCTATAGGCTTATGGCATGCTGCAGGGTTGCGATGGGCAGTAAGCAACGTAACGCATGTACAACACGGAGCCCAGGGCCTGGCGCCTAACAACCACCCACCGCTGTATGTGTTAGGACACTGCTAGTCACAAGTGATGCAAGCACTCAATTTAAGCAAAACTGTAAGCAAAGAGAAGGAAAAGGAAGGGGGTGGGGTAAAGAAAAAGTAGAATATGCAATAGACCTTTATAATAAGGCTTTTCTCCCCTTCCCTCTCCGACTTTCAGAGCAGCCCTATTAGATGTGAAGGGCAGGAAGTCAATCAGGGGATCAAACGTGGTAAACCTAGAAAAGGTTCTTTCTTAATGAGTTCATTCATCAAACATTTATTGAATGCCAACTGCCAAGCAGGGTCCTAACACCTGAGCACAGAGTAGCAACCAGCACAGGTAACACTGCCGCCCTCACGGACGTACTTGCTGGTGGAAAGGAGGTGCCATGCACGGGTCTGCTCTGCGTCCTCCACACGATCATGGCCAGAAGGCGGGCTCTCGGTGTGCTTGTGTGCAGCTGGGGCCTTGTACAAGCTAACCAGCTCTCAAAAGAATCGCCTTCACAAGGGACTAACCTAGCTCCCCAGGGCTGCTGGTGACCAGACAGAGCTGTCAGGAGACGACTGAGCCCGCTCCTCAATCCCTCCACTCCTTGCTAGGTGGTCTCCTCCTCCGATGATACTGACCACGCAGCTAGCAGCCAAGGGGCTCCTTAGCCAGGATGGACGGAGGCAACCTGATCCCAGACTGTCAACTTCCGACACGGTGAGCTCCGCAAACCTTTTTCTTTAAACAAAGTACTCATCTGTAGGTATCTTGTTGTTACAACAGAAAATGGGCCAATACAGAGAGGATCATTTAAAGGGTTGCCAGAAACATAAAAGTGTTCTCCAGGAAACTGGGCCACCCATAAGGTCAAACTAGCTTTCTCTTCTCCACGCTCACAAATTCGTCTCTCTTACCTACCTTTTCTTGACAAAAGCGAGAAACGCCATCAGGTCTTCTAATGGTGAAGGAGGCCTATCTGTGGATTTTGAGCTGCATGCTTCTATGAATTGCCTGTAACTAGAGGAACGACCTTCTCTTTCCATTTTTCAGTTACTTATCTTTTTTAGGATATTTTACATTAAATGAAGGGTTTTCTTTGGCCTGCACAAGTTCCTCTGGACAGGACATTAGGTGCTTATTAAAATACTACAAAAACCTGGTCATTTATTAGTCATTTAAAAAGTATTTCTCTGGGGAATGTCAACTTTATTTCTGTGGTAACCAGTCTAACCAGTTAACCAGTAAAAGTGAGGGCCTCCAGACCAAGCTTTCGGAGAGCCCGGGAAGTGGAAGTGCGGCGGGCCTAGCAAGAAAAGCCTCTCCACCTCTGTCCCTTCCCTCGACGTGAAGACGTTTGAGGAAACATTTCACGTCATTTTCGTGATGAAAGACTGTTCATAGCAGGGAACTCAGTCCTGGCCAAGACGCCTCACCTGGGAGGACTTGTTTAACCAGTGCTATTCGGTGTTTATTCCATGAACGAGCTAAATTAGCAATGCGTAGGATCTCATTTAAATCTGGACAGGTCTAAGAGACCTGTACTACGGCAACAAACCGCGCTCTCCTGGGCAATTTTCATTAAATTCGAAGTTGCTCAGGTGTGTGTGGGGAGGCGGCTCAGCGCGGGGTAATGGGAGGCCATCGGCGTCCTTTTTTTAAAGTAATATAAGCTATGTGCCCTGTTCCACCTCTTAATTTATGCTGCTTTCCCTAACCCTTTGGCTGCAGTGAGTATCCTTTGTTAACACAATAATTTCTTTTAATCCAGATACAATGGCCAAATAGGTCACCAGGCTCAGTCAAATCCCATCCTTAAATCTCGGAATTAAAACAATGGCGTTTTAATCGAAAAGCTCATCGGTGTCACGCCCTCCACCTCCTGCACCACCTCGGCAGGGCGCGCCTTCCCGGCTTGCTGGGGCCAAGTGGCGGGCATGCAGCAGCTGCCTGTCCCCTGCGGAGGGGACAAAGTCCCGCGCGTGCACGGCCCTCGGGTCGGCCGTTCCACCCGCGCCGCCACCACGTTTGCCGAAGAAAGCAAACAAAGCGGTCTGGGCAGCAACCCCTCGCGCCCCGGCGAGGCCCTCGGCGCCGCCTCCGAAGCGGGCAGAACTGGCCGGGCGGTCCCGTCCCCGCAGACGCGCGCGTGGTCTCGCCGAGCCTGCACGACCCCGCTCC